CTTTTGAGCTTGTTGTATAATATGATCTTTACCCATGTCTATCCTTGCAGGATCTTGGGCCAAGTGAAGCTGCAGTTACCAGTCCTGGACCACAATCTGATCCATCACCCCAGTTTTATGATGAAGTCAAGAAGCAGCACTCTACAGACACTTTACCTCCTCAGTTCCATGATAATGCCAAAATCCAGCGTTCAGCTAGCCTTCAATCCTCACCTAAGTTCCATGATGAAGTCAATGGCCAGCATTCTTCTAACAATGCGCCACCACCTCAGTCTTACCCTACTGCTGGTTACTCTTCCCATGATTTCCATCCACCTCCTCCAACAAATAGACCAGAAACTTCTGATTATTCTCAGCCATACCAGCAGCAACCCTACCCGCATGAACCCCAACAGCATTTGCCACATAACTTTCTTTCTCATGAAAATAATTTCTCCTATCCTAATTTCCAATCTTATCCAAGTTTTACAGAAAGCAATATTCCAGCAGTCACATCCCACTATCCCTCTTACTATCAGGGCTCTGATCCTTCCTACTCTGCCCAGTCAGCTCCTTCAACAGCAAACCATCCTTCAACTGCCCAATACCAGTCGAGCAACAGAAATGGGACTGTTCCAGAACCTGCTCCTACTCCTACTCCTGCAAAGACATACCAGTATGACAGTAGCTACCAGCCATCACCTGAGAAAATTGCCGAGGCACATAAGGCTGCCAGATTTGCAGTTGGGGCGTTGGCATTTGATGATGTGTCAGTTGCAGTAGATCACTTAATTAAATCGCTTGAACTGTTGACGAATCCATCAGCTGGTCAGTGAGTTTCTCATTTCTAGGTGCTTGGAATTCCAGATGTTTGCCATAGTTTGTTTGCGTGAGTAATATGTAAATGTCACTGGATGGTGGATAAGTGCACGGAAACGTTACTTTTAATCGTGATGCACGTATGGAAATGAAAACCGCGGATTTATGCTTCATATTCTCTCAAGCATGTAATTTGCTCATTTGATGTTGAGACACGAGTTTGTATGTGGACTTACATGGATGTGAGTTGAAGTTGGTTTTCATTTATATCTTTGTGTAATTCAAGCTCGGCCTATGCGCATCTTACAATTTATAATTAATGAGCTGGGCTTCTTGTAGCCTTTGCACAAAGAGTACAAAAGTGATTGTTCAAGTACATATGGGTTCTCAGAATTTAATTAGTTTTTGGAGTTGTATGGTACGTAAGGTTTTGGGACATGTGGAAACAACGAGTTAAAGAAGAAATGCTTACGTACTGAAAAGCAATGGTTGAGATAAGAACTGAAAAGCAGTGGTTCCTCTGAGAATCTTTGTTAATAATTTTCTTCTCCTGAATAATTCTAGCAATTTTATTTGGTTGGCTTAAACTTAAACTAGGTGCTCTCTCTTCTTGACCTTTAGCGAGAGGAGTTAACTGGATCATGGTGCTACACGCCTCTGAAGAATCAAATGAATATTTTGATACTTGATAGAATTGAAAGGTCCAAAATATCAAGCTCGCAAGCATCAACAATACATACATACATACATACGTATATACACGTTGTTTTACTGTATTTATGTAATATATACAAACTTGAATAGTAATTGGAATGATGGGCACGTCTTTTCTAAAAGTGCGATTTTTTTTCTACTAAAATATCTCAAGTAGTTCCAACGTGGAAGTAGATGATTGGCTGTGCTTCGATAAGAAGTGTGCGATCTTGAAACATTGCAGACCCCAATTAAAAGCCTCATGCTCGTTATCCCCAGAACCCAATCTCTCAATTGTTGTCAAGCAAGCAAGCTTACCACTTCTTCTCAAACCAGAACCAAACCAGAAACAAGGAGAAGGAAGAGGAGGAGAAATGGCAACAGCAACTGTAGCTGGAGTGAGCCTCTCAACCCCAAGAGTGTTGGCCAAAGCAACGGAGACACCAAAGGCTTTCCAGCCAGCACGGCTCAGCAACCCCTGGAGAAGGTCAGGTGGCCAGCAGCTATTGGGCGGTGGCCGCATGACCATGATAAGGCCAGTAAGCGCAGCCCCAGATAAAATATCAGAGAAGGTGGCTGAAAGCATCAAGAGCGCAGAGGAGACTTGCTCAGACGACCCAGCGAGCGGGGAGTGCGTGGCAGCATGGGACGAGGTGGAGGAGTTGAGTGCTGCGGCCAGCCATGCCCGCGACAACAAGAAAACTTCCGACCCGTTGGAGACTTACTGCAAGGACAACCCCGAAACAGACGAGTGCCGTACTTACGACAACTGAGTGGTCTCTCTCTCTCTCTCTCAATGACTTGTCATGTTTTAGATTTCACAGTACTATGAATTTAGCGTTGCTGTATGTTAAAACTAAATGCAAGCTTAGCAGCTGCTGCTAATGCGTCATGATACGTTGGGTTGCTTCCTCTTATTTCACATCATGATATCATATAATCTTGCAACATAAATTGGTGATTATTAGCTTCCAAATATTATACAGAAGCTTTTCATTTTTATTTATTTATCTTCTATTTCATTCTTTAATTAGTAGTTGAGGTTTTATTCAAGTGTGGTTGTGTATATATAACATATCAACCACCTACCACCGTTTCCAACTTTCTGCTGCTTGACGGGAAATTCATCAAATTTGGAAATCACCCCATGTGTTGTTACATACCCCGGATGATTAAAAAAGATTTGCAGTACAAAAGTATTTTATTAAGTTTCAATTCCAGGCACCAAATCAAATCTAACTAGAGTTTTAAATTTCAAGTGAGCTGTAATCTTTTTATTCAAAGAGGAGGGAGTCCTCGGTCCATGGGTTTGCTCTGAGATCCTTATCTTATGTCTCAGAAGAACTCAACTGAGATTAACCATACAAATGGCCAGCACATGTTGAATGAATTTGAATATCTTGCCCCAAGCAAGACGACAATTTACAATCCAACCCAACCCGTTGGGATAAGTATTTGGGAAAGTTTTAAACAATCTCGGTTAGCCAACTAATATGCCTATATAATCAAAGCAATCAGTAGCCAATACGGAAGAAAATGGATAGATTCATACCAAACCCACCAACCACAAACATTTCATTTATACAGAGAAAGATGAAACAAGCTTGTGCAAAGGAACTAAGACACCAAAACGAAAGAACAAAGACGACTAACCAAAATCCAAACACCATCAAAATAACAAACACAAAAGACTTGTACAATGAACATATAACAAGAACAAGCTTAAGCTATTCAAAGACTGTCAGCCGAGAAACATGTCGGAAGAGGCCGAGATAAGCTGCGTTGGGTAGGAAAGCTGCCACGGCCTCAGCAGCGGATCAGGTATCTCAGGGATGTCCACAGCAAGGCCGCTAACCTCTTCGAAGATCTGGAGCGCCGAGTTCAACGACTGCAAACGATCGGTGAGCTCCATTACTTGAGCCCTCATCACGTTGTTCCTCGACTCTATCTCAGCGTAGCCCCGCTCCTTCACTTCGATTCCCTGCTGAAGTTGATTGTTTGACATCTCCAGTCGGGTGATTTCGCTCGTCAAATCATCCATTTGCTTCTGCTTCTTCATCCGCGATCGCCTCGCCGATTCGCGATTCGACAACATCCTCTTCCTCTTCTTCTCGTCCACCGTTGCAGACCCATCTGATCCCGAGCTTGATTGCTGCTGAACCGAAGACATTCTTCTTTTCTTTTTCTTTTGGGTGTTTCAACCCAAGAATTAATTACCCAAGGGGATGTTAATTCGATGAATTAGGAATGAGTGTTTGTGAAGAAAAAAAATTAACTAATTGAATTAGGGTTTCTACAATTGGGGCAAAACAAAAAAATTGGGATTGCAATTGGAATCAAAGACAACGATTTGACTCGATTAATTCATGAGAAAACGTAGAACCAGTAGAGGAACACAACCGAGAACGAGTGGATCAGACGAACGCGACGCATGAGTGTCATAGAAACATTAGACTCATTGATGTAGATCTCAAGAACCCAGAATTTCCAGGCCCTAAATCAGATCCACATCCAAAGGATTGAAACAGATTTCAAGAAACTAAAACCTCAAGAAGAAAAAGGAACCAAAATTGACCTCAGATCTAGATAAAGAGGTTTCGGAATCAAGGAAATATTAGGGAGAAACGTAGAGAAAAAGAAAGTGAAAAGGAAAGCAAGAGAAAGAAAGCAACAAACTTATCTGAAACGCGCAGCGGAGAAATTTACGCGAAATGAGACGGAAGGTGAAAGAAGGTTGATAAGGTTGTGGAATGGGGCTTTTATAGAAAGTTGGGGGAGAGGGGTAGGTGAGTTTGGAGAATAATAAAATGACATTTTTTGTATTATTTGTCTAATTGCTAAGCTAAATTGCTAATTTTCGTGTGTCATGGCTGGCGTCAATGGTGAAGGAAGACAGCTAATCAACTTTTGCCACTTCAACCATTGTACTGCGAACTAGAGAGAGAAATAAAAGGAATATTCTTTTATCCACTTTTCTATATGCTTGGAAATTATCTTTTGTCCATTTCTTTTTCTCTTTTTTTTTCCATAATTTAGTTAGTCAGAAATAGGAAGCAGCAAAGCCTTATATTCAAAATCTCAGTTGTGTTACTAAAAAAAAATTTGCATTGACCTTCAACATTTCAATTTTTGCCTTGAAAAGCCACCTATATAACAACTCCTTACATAGATCAATGTAATGTTACTTTTCTTCTCGATGTAAGAAGGGGTTCCAAGTTTAAATCTCAATTTGATTAGAGAAAAAAAATATTATGCATACATACAATTCTTTGATTTTCATCCCAATAAAAGATTGAAATAGCATAAATAGTTGGCCACATAAAAGTTTTAAAAAAAGTGAAGAAAATTAAAAACGAATTGAAATATAGTGTAAATTACCGGCCAAAGAATGATGGTGTGTAAATTTTGTGGTTTCGTTGAGGGGAACCGATCCTCTATATTTTGTACCGCAGATTAGTGGCATGTCTATAATAGCATGACAGTAAAACAAATAAACACACACAAACACCAAAGCAAATGAACACTCTCGCACAGACACGCCCAGAAGAAGGACAGAACCACTTATGTATGCATACACAAACCGCATCATTTGTAAGTGTCACATGCCAGACGCAGAAACATCCATGTTTGTGTCCGATAAATCCAAGGTGGACTAAATTAGATGGATATTGTTGGGTTTCAGAGAACAAATGCAACAGCTACTAACACCGGCTGAAAGAAATACAACAAGCTACTACCAACCATGGAATCCTGCTCAAAGTTTGCTTTCAGATCCTGATGAATATCTTGAGCTATGTGGATTAATTTCTAGGTTCTAAAACTGGCATGGGAAATGTTCTTTAAGCGGCGAAGTTCACTCAAGAAGTCCATTGATGAACCAGGAGACCCAGCACCGCCTGTTGAAGCCATTAACTAAAGATAGCCAATCCAAACATCAAATCCTGAGAGACAGACAGAGACAGACATGGAGAAAAAGGGAGAGATTCCATACTCACCTGATGAGGAAGTTGGAACTGACCCCATGCTGCTCCGCCTCCTGTGTACATAACTGGTCTTTCTGAAAAATAAAAACTACAAGTAAACAAACCAGCCAAAATGTCGTGAAACTCGCGTTTGCGATGCATGAATGAGACATCCTAGATGCTGATTTTAGATCTATTATTAGCACATACTTAAATGAGGTTTGTTAAAAGACCCGTATTCCTTCAACCCAATTCTTCTCTTTCTGCCCCAGGTTTGGTTTCGACTCCTTTGAATCCTTCCCACTCCTAACACCCAAAGTTCTAAACTGAACACTCTGAAGAAGGTGGTAGGTAACAATAAGACATTTTTAACAAAAGTTTAAACCCTAATAAGCCTCCTTTGAAGCTTGTGCTCTGAACCACCAAACAATTATTCACCCTCAGGCTCAGCCATCTGCAATATACAGTACTAAACCTGATATATTTCCTTCAGTTATCACAAAAATTTGCAAAAGAACTTTATGTCATTGAATAAACCACATCATACACGCATCAATTTGGGCATATTAATAACTTGAATGTCTTTAATTTCATGCAGAGTATGCTATAAATCCCCAAAATAACCAAAATGTTATCCTACTGACCTGATAAATCTACAGATGGATCATTGAAGCAATGCATTGCAGCAGCCCAACCTGTGTTTTCAAACATTAAAATTTGCATTGCGTCAAAGTATGCAATTATCAACCAACTCTAAACTCATACAAGTAATCACCAAAAAAGGGCTTGGTTGGAAACATTCTTTTCATCTTTTACTTATGATAGCATAACTGGAGATAAAGATACAAACATGACAAGAGAAAACTTGTGCAAGAATTTGGATATACAACCTAAAGCCTTTACATTTTCAGACTTTGTTCCAAAAAAACTGGTGAGTCACCTCATAAATTTAACATCTGAGCCTGCTTGGTAGCAAGGACACTTTAATTTCAGAATTTCTTGTTATACTTAGAATTGGAAAAAGATTGAAATGACTGTTCAAAATTTCACCTATACCTTTGAGATTCAAATAATTTATATTTTCTTATGAAATGTTTAGTTTATTATTATAAGCATTGATGGCTCTCTTCTTTAAGGCTTATTCCGTAGAAGCTAACATCAAAAAGACAATAAGAAAGGAGGATGTCAGTGTGGGCATCATAGCTTATTATCCATTTAATTTCATTTCTAATCATCATGTTGAAATAGCATGCATCAGCCTTTTCAAGCAACTGTTGACACATACGATTATTTAAGAGCTGGAAAGCTGCACTGCCGCTACACCCCTCTAGAGCTAGTAACCCTAGACGAGAGTTCTCATTCAGAAGACTGCTGCTACTTGCATCCCCATGATCCATACCAGACATACTTCTTGAAGAAGAAATTTGATTCTTCTCCAAATCACTCCCGCCTTGAGGATTGTTAGTTCGATCAAACCGATCTGAAACAGTAACTTATAACTATATTAGATATATATACCATGGAAATGTCACAATTTCCTTGGTCATTCAATCTCTGGTAAACAAAAGAATAAATAGATATGTACAAATAAATCAAAACAGACAGCCAACAGCCTCTAAGCCTAATGGCACCTAATAACAAGGGTGGAGTGAGGGCAAGTCTGGGGTTTAGTATTACTTAGCAAAACAAACAAAATTAAAACAGGTTTTCAACTTAATGATGAATCAGTTAGGATAACTTGCACTTGGTGATGATATGCATATGCACAGGTATAACAATGAAACAGGTCAAATATACCAAGCATTTTCATTGGAGGATGTTAACACGATAGGATCAAACATACGACCACACACAAAAAAGGGGATTAAAGATAAGGCCACATGCCACTGGGGTGCGGTTGGGAAAGAGTAAGGATCAACATTTGTAATCAATATATTATTTACCAACACAAAAACTAGAAGTCACAGAAACTAATGATTTCCTAATAAAAGTAGCATTGGAGTAAGGATCAACACTGCTCCCTGACAATGTCTGTTTGTAATAGTGCTGACTGAAATAACAAAAATAGGCAAGACATTCCATGGTTCCTAACGACATAGTTTTGTTGGGAACTTTTAAAGAAGTACCTCTCACAAGACTCGAAACATGAAGAATGCATAAGAATCAAAGGGTTCAAGAATGAGTGGAACTATAGCAGAATATATGGAGTGCAAATTCAACAGAGACATATGATTAACAACTCAGGAGCAAAGGATCACTCGAACAAATCGCTTCTGATATTTAGGATCAGTGATGCAAAATGACCAAAACAAAAAAACGAAGTAACTACAACATAAAAAGGATGGAAGAAGACAATTTAGTAAGTGTCATAACATGGTACGCGCATAGTATATAATTATGCTAAATGTGACAAAAGGGTTGAGAAACAAATTGAGGATCATTGTTGCCACAAAAGTGCTTATTAGCTTTGGCAGCTGGATCGTCGTAACAAGGAGAATTCAGACTTCTATATCAAAAGGAAATTGAGGCTTCCGACATGAGGACTTCAAATCAAAGTGAAATACAAGGAGAACAGAGAATTGGACACACACACACACACACAAAAATTACCTGCGGACTTGCGTCTGTTAAGAGGACGATTCCTGCAATGCAGTCCAACAAATTTAATTGTATAACAAATTATTTTTGAAAGAAAATGAGACAAAAGTAGTCTAATGGAAAAATGAATACCTCTGACTGGGAGGAGCATAGCGCTTCACGTTTGCCGGTGGATCTGCTGCGGCTGCTGCCGCTGATGTCGGATTTTCCAGCATCCGTGGGTCAGTGTGATGACTCTTACCCAACCCACCAAAAACAGAGAAGTGCTCAAAAGCTCAAGCTGCTCAACAATGAGAGATGGGATATTTCTGATGTTTATATATTTTTCTTATACAGTTTTTTTTCCTTCAAGTCGTATTTTTGGTTTTGGGTCCGATTCGCTGAACCTGAGTTTTCCTGTTCTTTTCTTTTAAAAATAAAAATAAAAACGATTATGCGAATTACAATTTGCTACCATGAGGTTTACTCATATAACGGAGTCATCCATATGCTTCTAATTTTTATAAAGATGCCCCTGAATTTTCGAATTTGTAATCCAAGACAGTCAGCAACTCCGTCAATTCTTCTAGATGACGTTGTAGTCATAGAACTCATACTTCATCACATGTGTTAATCTTTCTTCATCATATGTGTAGTGATCATGTGATCATGTGATCATCGAGGGTGTTAGTGAAAATTGAAAGCATTGCCTATATATCAAATTCATACATGAATTATTTTATTTTTTTTGGTGAAAACCAAGATATCCCCCGCGCGATTGCGGGGACTAACCCTCGAGGTACTGTCGGGCGCAAAGCGGGGACCTCTCCCAACAAAGTCTGCTCTATTCGCAAGCGCCTAGGATCGAACCTAGGACCTCTTGTTTAAAAGATCCAAGCCCCTTCCACTTGGACCAACTCTTGTTGGTATTCATACATGAATTATTGATGATTCAAAACTCATGCGAATTTATATAAATCCTACAAATTAATCTCTTGATTTTGTTTGTTAAATGTTTACATGGCAAAAGTGAGTTCCTAATTGTGTGCTTACATGGGCTTTATTTAAAGAACACTACATAAATAAGTCTCTCACATTAGTTGCCTTAAAAGAATCGGTTTATATGAATATGGGAACAAACTCAACATATACAACAAACATAATCCCTCTATAAAATACTTATAAATTTGTAATTTATATGGGAACTACACATGAGCTTTGCACAATTAAATACCTTATAAAAGTTCCAATATCATTACGAACCACTATACATATTATATTGCATGGACACCCTATTAAGCCCAAGTGTGGGAGTGTCGGACACTTGGACACTCCTCGGACATGGGTCAAAGACTTGGAAAGCTTGAATTTCACTATATATAGTATTGTGAAATTGGAGTATTGAACATCAATATTTTATTTTTTAAAATATATATTAAATTGTTGTGTTCCCATGTCCTAATTTTTTGATATTTGTCATTTCCCCATATTCGTACAAAGCTCATGTGTAAAATGATATTTTTATTTCTCTATTAAAATGATAATTTTTATTGGCACTCCAAAAAATTATTTATCTAAAGATTTATCAATTTGCAATGATTAATTAAATTTTCAATTACTGTTGAATGTACTATATAAAATTCCTTTTAAAGAACACAAAAGATTTACTTTTATAGGAAAATGAACAAACTAAACCAAATTTATTACTAATGGATGGATTTGGTTCAATTATGTTATTAATTTCAGACCTAACTAAACCAATTCAATCTATGATGTTACCTTAATTCAGTGTTTTGTTTGAAGCTTAAACATAATTAAATCATAATGACTAATGAGCCCCCATCCTTTGTGGAGACCAAAGTGAAAATACCCCAACTTGCATGGATCAAAGTTAAAAAAACTAGTCAAAACAATTTGGGTCCGAAGTGAAAATAATTCAAACTAAATGCCCATTCCGTTCCGTCTGCCAATTCAAAGATATTTAAGGTACAAAAGTACAATTTATATTTTGTAATTCTGTAAATTGAAAAACTACAAACCACAATAGCTATTTGGCCTAAATCTTGGGGTGAATCCACAAATTGCCTAAATCATTGGGTGAAGCCACAAAATAATAAAAGCCGTCTTATCAGTCTCTCTCGTATATATACGAAAAAACAAGGAAACGGTGGAGGGAGTGAGGGCGGTTGAGAAAATAAGGAAATGGAGGGAGAAGAAGAAGCAGCCGCAGCTTCAACAAAATCAACAGAAAGAAAGCATTCTCTCAAACCCCACCCTATCTTCAATAACTATAACAGCTGGAAGCACAAGGTCTCTATCCCAATTCACGATCCACAACTTGTTCCAATCTATGTTTCGTCTTATTTATTCAAATTTTTTTTTTTTGTTGTCGACAAAATTCGAAGTTTGTGATTTATAAATTCCTAGTTTTGATCCTTCGATTTTATTTTGCAAGAACTTAGTCTATCCAAATGGTTGTACAAATAAAATTAACAGTTATCTTGTAAATATCTGTTAGTGTCTCTATGTATGATGAATTGACAAATAAATTTTACTTCCAATCTGTATGTTTTGTAGTTGAGAGAGAACTGTTACAAAAGGGTGAGAGAAGACAGAAGGCGGTTGCTTTGGAAGATGAGAATGGTGCCCACTCCACAATTTCTCAGTCACATTCCAAATGTACTCCAGCTATATTCCTTTTTTTCTTTTACTTCCTCTTGTTTCTGTGTGCAAATTTAGTTTGCACTTAATATATATATCTTGCTTTTCCAATTTGGTGGAAGCAGTTCATTCATCCAATAGGCTAGTAATTGTTTCCCGGTCTTCTGTTTGCAGGATTTGATCAAATCTGCTTTCCAGGACATAGTTTCCGCTGAATTGGGAAAAATGAAGGACTCGTCATTGGATGACAATACGAGCATTTCGAAATCTGTCCCTGAGGGCAATGATGTGTTATGGGAATATGAAGGCCTTACAGATGCATACCAAGGTGATTGTGAAGAGATGTTGTTAGAAATGCAAAGGATCTTTTACGAAGATCTGAGTACAGAGCCAACTACAAAAGGTGAAAAATGGGTGCAATTAAGTTTGTTATAGTCTCAATTTTTGTAGCAGAAAGTCTCCTGACTATCAACTCATAATGCAAATTGAAATAACAGAAAAAATAAAATATTCCTGTATATAGGGTAGTTTTTGTGAACTACAATGATATTTTCTTATATCATCCATTCTGTTTCATGTTAGCTTTTGTCAAGCAGTTATACATTCCTCTTCTTTGGCTCACAAATGTGTGAGGTTTCTAAGAATCGTTCTTATCTCCTTGTCGCTCTAGATACAACTGTTTAGATGTTTTTGTAACAATAATATGAATATGATCATCAAATGAAATGTTCTGAAGCCGTAGTTGTCCTTTTCCCTCCCTACTGTTGTTCTTTTTCTTTCTCTGCATGTGCCTTAGAAGTTTTCATTGGTCAGTTCATCATTTTGAGCAGAGATGTTTACTCTAGCTCTTTGCAGAAACAGAAATCCGTGTTGAAACATGGGAAGATGAAGAGGATGAGTATTTGGCCCAGGCGGTTTATGAGCATATGCAACTGAACGACAAGCAGGTATAACACCAAAAATTACGAGTATTCAATGAAGAACCCACAATTTATACAAGTATATATCCAATTTTCACATTTTATTATAGCATAATAATTGTTGATCGATGAAGATATATGATTGCTAATATTATCAATTTAATCTTTATTGTAAATTTGTACTAAGGAAACTGTACTCAAGCAAATTTATTGTTGACGTTTCAGAGAATATCACTGTAGCTATTGATTAATTCCAAAATATTATTAATGCTGTCATTGTTATGATTTAAAATCCAATTAGATGCTGTAATGAACATTTACTCGTACCATGGAAGGCTAGCGCTCACTGGATGGTAGGAGCAACAAAGTACTCATTAAAGGGATAGCTCAGTTAGGCAATCTTAGATGCATTCTAAAGTGGTGCAGTAGCAGTTTTAAAACTTAAGTTAGACAAGAGTGAACTTGAAAAGTTGGATGCAGTGGGAGGCTTTTCATGGTTTGGGCTCCCCTTCTGATGTCTTAGTGGGAACTTCAATTTGGGCCCAAGTTGTGTGGGAATATATTATTTCCTGCTCGAGGACAGTTTGCACTTGTCAGAATTGAATAAAATTGACTTACAGGAGGGTGGCGGAATCACATTTCTTAAGTTTATGCTCTCCTAATGTTCTCACTAGTACATGTTCGTGTTCACTACTCCTATTGATGACCAATTAATAACAGAAGCTCCAGATGTGATTGTTATGGAGTAGTGTTGGGAGGGGCATTTGAGTATGGGTGTGCTCGCTATTAAAATTGTAGTATGTCACACCTCGGGTCTGAGAACATACCCCTTTACCTTTTTTGCCGAGTTTAGGGTGTGATAAGATTGTATGAGAGTCTAAACCAGCTGCAAGTGTGTGGATTTGCCCCATGCAAAGAATTGTAACCCAAAGGGGTACATTGTGAAACCCAAGATCCCTTGACTGAGATTGCGAAGATTACCTGAGGCAGATATAACCAAGATGGTCGAGGAGATAGAGTGAGAGGTGAACACAACGTCCATGTGTTGAGTCTCACAGGGCCTACTTGAGTTGAGTGGAAGTGCTATATGTAGCATCCTTTCAATCGAAAGGCTGGTTACGCCCAAAGCGGGCAATATCTATGTGGATGTGGGTCGTTACAAATTAGGAGTAAGAAAACTTGGGTCTCTTAATCAGGCTGCCTTGTGTAATTGGATTTTGAAGTTCACAGGGGAGAGGATTTTCAGGTCTTTGGTATATGGATTGTGAAGTCTAAAATCCTGCCTCTCAATTTTTGAGCATCTTATTACAGTTGTGGTCTCTCAGCTTGAAATTCTAAGGTTTTCCTGTGAACATGCTTCCCATTATATTAAAGAGTATTAAAATGATCCATATCATGCCATATATTTTGTGTCCACATGAGTAAGAGGCTTATAATACTTTCCTTTTTCTTATCATTATCAGTGCCTTCTTCATCTTGGATACTGATTAGAATTTTTTGACCTTAATGGTAGCTGCGCAAGGAGGAAGTTTGGTGCCCCATCTGTAAGCATGGAGTACTACAAGAGAATTATCATCTGATTTACTGCAGCCTATGTGAAATTCAGCTAAACAAGGGAGATGAGGTCTTGCATCTTCTTTTGATTTTATTCATGCTTATGCGTTAATGCTTTCTTCTGTGCTGCTCACCTATCTATCTATGTATTAATATAAGAATTTAGCGATCAAAAGATTTTATCAAATATCATTATGCTGCGTCCTTCCCTTATTAAGTTATATAATAAGGGACCCTTTTGTTGAAACACATGCAGCTTAGAATAATAGCTAGCAAACGTAGTTGGACCCTTTTGCTTCAAAGTAGTGGTTTATCCTCTTTAGTTTCCTAACTAATTTTCATATGGTAAAAGTATGCCTGAATGTGTCACGTTTGTGAAACAGGTCCTTGAAGATAAAATGGCAAATGACGTTAGTTATATAGTTTGTCAATTTGATTAACCATCTTATCTTATGAGTCAAAAATACAAAATTGCAGGTTAATTTGGAGTTATTGCGGGGCAGGCTAGCAGAAGTTCATGCAGAGCATTTTGATCGTGGGTGCACATTGAAGCCCAAGTTTTGCATCGAGACTAGATTTAATATAACTGCATTGTACATTCTTTGTGCTGCTTGTAATACATTTGAGATTGTAATATAAATATAGTCAATATTTACTTCCATTTTGATGGTTGAAATCAGATGATGGGGTCTAAATTACATGTATTGGCGATGCTAAATTGCTTATGCATATCTCGGATCGGAGATTAACCTTCTTTTATTTTTTTTGCTTTTTGGTCAGAGAGGATTAATCAAAAATGGCAAAGTCTAATACTACTATTTCAGAGCAGTTTGCGTTTTAATTCAAAATGAAAATTTCAATTATTTTCATAAACAAAACAGACTGGTTTCGATAAAAACAAAAACAAAAGCAGCTTATTATCTTCAAAAAGTCCCATCATATTTGAGAGATCATAAATACTTTTTAATTATTCTCTGCCACATGGCGTCAGCTTAGCGCACATGTGGGCAAACACAATGAAATTTGATAAAAAGCGCAGGACCAAACAACAATTATGCACGCACGGGACCCATTTGTGAGGCTTTGAGGGGTTGGAATAGAATTCTCATCACTTATAATATAAATAATTTAGACGAACGGGACCCATTTGTGGCGACTCGTCCGGCCGAGACCTGATAGGCTTTGGTGGTGTGATAGACGAACCCAAACCGAAGCCTCTCATGTGCTTGACCGCAGTTCCCGTCGCACCTAACTCAATCCTATGAAGCCCTTACTCTGACAGACTCGACTCAGATCGACCACCACGACTCGCTCGCTTCCCGTTTGGCCATGCCACTCTGGTTCACTGCGTTCATCTCCCTCTCCAGAGAGGACTCCCTCGCATTATCACCCCTAAAATTGGCGTGTTTTCCAGGTTATTGTACTGAATTCAGCCATGGCTGCCGCCGATACTCACGCCCCTAATCCTAAATGTCATCTTTGCAACGCGGGAGCTGGTGCCGCCGCCGGTATGTCATTTTCTCGTGCTTTTTTGTACCGTTTGTTTGGTTGTAAATGAATTCAGCGAAAGTTGGAATATTGAGTAATTTTTTGTGCTCTGATTGCGAATTGGAAAGCCATTTTGATTGCATTGATTTGTTTTATCACAGTGAGATATTGATTGTATTGTATACATGTACATATATATACATGTAGATTGAATATAAGAAACTTGTTGTTTATGATGCCTACTTGTGGTTTTCTTGTGAATCATTTGATATTTTTATACTTTCAGCTATTGATTGTTTGAATTGGGCAGGGGTTATTGCTGCAACATTTGTGTGTCCTTTAGATGTTATCAAGACTAGGCTTCAAGTTCACGGGCTGCCAAGGCTCGGTAATGGGAATGTCAGAGGTATGCGCTTTGACTTTGCACGACACCAATATCAATATGTTTGCTTTCTATTATTTCAAGCACTCTAACAGTTTCTTAACTTTTCTGAATGAATGTTGTTTTTATATGATTATCATGACATTTTGTATGTTTATTTGATGAACAATTTATTTTTCCATGTCATCAGGTAGTCTCATAGTTGGTTATTTGGAACAAATATTTCACAAGGAGGGGTTACGTGGCATGTATCGTGGGCTCTCTCCAACTGTCCTCGCATTACTTCCTAACTGGGCAGTAAGTCTTGATACTTCCTAGAACCAAATCCTTCATTTTATTCACATAACCAAATGCAACCTAATAGTTTGTAGAAAAGAAGTTCCATACATGTGTTGAATAACGAGAAATGAACTTGGCTTACTTATTATCCATTGGTTATATTGGCCACAAACAACACAACTTTTCTGATAATTGTGGCTTTCGTCAGGTATCATATATTTTTCTCATCACAAATATTCTCTTCGTTGCTCATGCTTTTCCTCTGCCTTCTTATCTTGGAACTTGGAAATTTATAAATTTTGTGAATAATCACATATTGTAACTCTTTGTAGGTTTATTTCACAATTTATGACCAGCTCAAAAACTTCCTTTGCTCTGATGGTTAGTACATGACCATTTTCTTTTTAGATGGATTGTTTAAACTTTAAACCATATTTTTCTTTTAGGTAATTCACCATCCTTCTATATCTTATTTTCAAGTGTGTGTGTGTGTGTGTGTTTTGACATTGGTGCATGTATAGACGAGAATCATCATCTTCCTGTCGGGGCCAATATGCTAGCTGCTTCGGGTGCTGGAGCTGCGACAACTATTGCTACAAATCCGCTTTGGGTTGTCAAGACTAGACTTCAGGTGTGTCTCATTTCATTGTAGTTGTCTCTATTAAGGAGCTTCTCGTTGAAGTATGTGTCTTATTTCTAGTGTTACCAAGACTAGCAGCTGTAGAATGAAAAGTGTTGATTTAGCATAATGTTATTGTCTTCTCTCCCAATTTTCCTGTTCTATTCTGCAGACTCAGGGAATGAGACCAGGTGTGGTGCCATATAGGAGTACACTTTCTGCTTTGAGGAGAATAGCTCATGAAGAAGGCATCCGTGGTTTGTACAGGTTTTGTATCCCATATCATTAGTAAGTTGTATTAATCAGTGTGTATTTAATTATTTATGTTAATGATGATGCCTGTGATGTGTTGTTTGACAGTGGTCTTGTACCTGCTTTGGCTGGTATCAGTCATGTTGCCATCCAATTTCCAACCTATGAGAAAATAAAATTTTATTTAGCTAATCGAGGTAATAGTCTGCCTGCTTTTAGTCTTTATGTACTCTTGACGGAGTTGTGATGTATGGTTTGATGTCATTATATCATATAGCACTGCAATAGATAGGGTTTAGCCCCTTGCATTTAGTCTTTTATGTACTCTTGAAAGAGGTGTGTTATATAATTTGATGTCGTTATATCAGACAACACTACGGTAGATAAACTCGGTGCACGTGATGTTGCCATTGCCTCATCTGTATCCAAGATATTTGCATCAACATTGACGTACCCACATGAGGTACTAATTTGAATGAATTTCTCAATTTGATTTTAACCTTTTGTAGTTTTTTTGGTCAAATTTGAATTCTTTAGTTTTCTCTCCCCTCAAATACCCATGATTATATCAATTCAAAATACTACTTGCCATGAAGGAGGAGGGCAGAAAAACATAAAAGCCATGTTTCAGTGATAAGCATACTATGCAGAAAAAATTTACAATATTAGCGGAAGTTTTCTAGAAGCTGCAGAATAAGCCAACCATTAAAGTAGCATATTGAAAAATCATGCACTAACAAAAAATATATGTAGGTGGTACGCTCAAGGCTTCAAGAACAAGGCCACCACTCTGAGAAGCGTTATTCTGGTGTTGTTGATTGCATTAGAAAAGTATTTCAGCAAGAGGGCCTCCCTGGTTTCTACCGTGGATGTGCCATCAATCTTTTGAGGACAACACCAGCTGCTGTAATTACGTTCACAAGCTTCGAGATGATTCATCGGTTTCTTGTTACTTTATTCCCCCCTGGTCAAACACTATGAGATGGATCGTTCTCCACTGAGGATGGTGGAAGAAAGAACGAGTCGTGTTACTTGAAAGTTCCAAATAGTCAACTCAATTAGGTTAGCCATTATTTGACTGGTGATGATAGGCTAAGGCTTCCCTCATCGGATCTGTATGTCGATTGTTTCGGTGGCTTTTATATATTTAAAAGCAAAGTAAAGATATTGCAGGCTCATGCCCCCATGAAGTTGTTTTGGGGGGAAAGTGAGGATTATGCCATTTAAACACTGATGATGATGAGAAAGTAGCGTAGTTTACAATTATTAAAGGGTTGTGAATTTGATTTATGGGACTGAGTACTCATGACATCAAAGTTCCATTATTTGTCATGTTCTTGTTACTTGTTGGATGTTGGACTCAAAAGTATCCTGATTTCCCTCATGCCTTAGATTGACGATCCTAGATCTTTACATAAAAATGAAACACGGCAGCTGTTTCAAAATGCACTCGTGTATAATTTATCCTTTATGTTTTTATAAATGAGGAGAGCACAATGACTTTTTTGGAATCTCAGTTCTTTACAAACTAAAGGGCAAACATAAACACAAGAAGATGGAGGGAGGAATTGTTTGCGTTATTGCTCAAATGCATGCTAATTGCGCATTTTACTGGTGGGTTTCGGTGATTGTTTCTCATTGTACTAGGGAAATGGTGGTGGGCATGCGGATTGTAGTTTTTGTTAGATATGCTGGCAGGTGAGATTTTTATTCAAATTTGTAATTAGTAAAATAAAAGGAATAAGAACTGATAATGGGGAAGTCATTCGTTTGGGAAAAGGAAAAAACAATTAAACTCTGAAACGAATATTCAAATTTGTATTAAATTATTTAATAATATTGTCAACAGCATATTCCATCTCTGATCAAAAGTGGTGCAGTGCAGTGCAGTTTGTGAAACAGAGTTAAGTAAGGGAGCAGTCTATTGCTAGTCTACTTGAGCAATGTAGAGATGGCCATGCAGTTGCTTGCCAGCTTACGCAATGTAACAACATCGTCCTCCTTCAAAGGCAGCTTGGAGCCGGGAGACTCGGCGACAGCATCATCACAAGTACCAAAATAGGTAATCACTCCGCTAAGCCTGGTTTGTAAAGTGCCGACGTCGCTCGCGGCAATGGCCTCACTGGCACCGTTGATGTCATCTACGGCAGATTCGTAGACTTCTTGGCATACTTTGATCGACGACACATCTGCTGGCGATGTGGAGGGATTGCTGGCCGTCTTCTTCAACTGGCCGAGGGCCTCTTGGGTGAGGTCCAAGCATGCCTTCATCTCTATTTGAAGGACGGTTGTAGGGTCGGCATTGCCGTGTAGGTTAGGAAGGACGGTGCTGGAGCAAAGAGCAGAGTTTGCAGTCTTGGCACAGATTTTTTCAACAGCCGGATCCGACTGCGGGGTTGGGCGTGATGAGACTTGACCGGAAGAGATGGATATGAGGAGGACGAGGAGGAAGACCCGGCTGTTGATGAGCTCCATTGTCTCTTCTCTTCTCTTTACAGGAGGAGGTACAAGAGGAGAGACAATTAAGGAACAAGAGGTTAGGGAGAAGGGGAAAGAAGGTTGTTTTTAGATGATTGAGCAAACGAGTTTAGCACATTATATATACCAACAACAATGGCATTTAGGGTAACTGCTTTTGGAGAAATTAGGAGGGCCAACTTTGGTAACAGCCTAGCGGTTGCAATTTCTGGTACATTTTATTCATAGTGTGTTCTTGTTATGGGCGGTCCGGAAATTTATCAGTTATAACCAACCAGCACATACCGTATGGTGTACAGCTTGTAATTTGCCATTTTTCTTGTGCAATACCGAACTCTCTCTCTCTCTCTCTCTCTCTTCTTTTTTTTTTCCATTCTTTTTCTTGTTAACTTTAAATAAGCTTCTAAAAACACCGATTAAAAAAAGCTTCTAAAAAATTTGAAAGACGAAATACAAAAAAGGCTATACAGAGCAATTAGGCATTTTGAAAAGTTTATTTTTTTCAGACCTCATCAGTGATATCAAAAACTGAACTAGACTTTTTTACCTTCGAAGCTGCAAAGATATTGCAGGGTGTTCCTTACTTGGAGAAATCCCAAGACTATATGACGCCACAACAAGACGCTTTCCAACTTCAGGTTTATTAAGCTTATATCTTCTTTGACCATAGCCAGTTGGCGACGGTAAACATACCGGCTTTGCAGTCCTTTTGGCAGAAAACTGGGTTAAGGGGCTAACTTGTATGCTCGAACAAATATCATCTGCTTTAGTCTTCAAGTGTTCTTCAGGCCAACTTTGAACAACTCTGGATGTAACAGACCTTGTAGGACTTGAAGGAACGCCATCTTCACTAAGATTTGAAAAGTATCTGTGAATAATGCCGGATACAGATACTACTTCTGATGAAGTATGAGTGGGCTCATCTATCATTGATTTAGATGCACAATCAGGAAATTTCTCCTTGTCAATTTGGACTCTATTCACTTCGTATGCTGAGGAGATTTTCTTTCTTCTCTTCCTTATCTTTGTAAAGTAGAAAGGTCTTCTGAGCTTTCCGAGTAAAGGGTTGTGGCATCGAAATAATTTTTCCCTCAATATCCTTTTACAGTGGCCTTTTGTGTTACTCTTAGCAGTGCTTGTAACAATATTCTCTGGATGCAGAGGATGAGTAATACTAAACTTAGGTAAACATGGCCTATTGCAATCACTCAAAAGTCTTGCTTCCACATGAAGAAACCATGTTCCTTTCACTCCCCGGAAAGCACTCTTCATCGGCACTGAATCAGGCAGGTGATACAAGCATGATTTTCGCTTGACCTATTAAAAAAAGTAGAAGCAACAACCAAAGATTGATGTATGAGGTCAAGAGCTAGAAGAAATGAAAGAGTAGCAGAAGTAAAAATCACGCTGTGAAATAAAGATAATTAAAACAATTCACCATCAATCTGGAAACTCGGATCTCTCCTGAATTCCAGAAACAATTGAAGTGCTGTGTCTCAAGTTTCCCTGCAAAACAGATTTGGCAATGAAAACCATTGCGTAAATGGAGCAAGGCAGATAATAACAGGATGTTACAATCTGCACTAAGGTTCAATAACTTCATCACATCATCAACTAGAAAAGTAAACACTTTGCTCTGCTTTGTAGAAGATTGTGTAAATGTAATGTAATAGAGTGTCCGATCTGTCTGATACTGAAAGGGCCCGAGAAGCTAATGCCAAATAGAAAAAGCCTGAGAATCCTTAACATTATTTGATCAGGCATGAAAAAACATATGCCATTGCCAACAAAACCCACCTAGCAGCTAAATACTACAATGCGTCACCACTAGTGAAATCACTAATAAGAGGGAAAAAGAAGGTAATGCCCAAAGAACTAGACTGGACGTTTCAAACAAATCACTACCCAGAACAAAAACAAGAGATATGTGAAACAACAAGTGCTTGTGCTTCTACAGTACAAGTACAAAAACATATCAAACAAATACAAGAAAAATGACACTCAATCAAACAAAGGAGAGAGACCAAAATCTGCAGTTTAAAATGCATAATTGGAATGAAGTTTACTTTTATTCCTAATGTAGTTTTTGTTTTTTGCTTACTTTTAAAGTCTCTTACTGTGATATCTGGTGAGACATCCATGGCCATGCGAGTGCCCAAGTTGGTGTTTACGAAAACTGCTACTTCCACGGTCAAAGCCATTGGCGTCTTAGGATTTAGGAGCGGAAGAGAGGAATATCGAGAAAAGGAGGGCTGTTGAGTGAGAGTGCGGCGGAAGAGAGGAGGTACGCGTTAACGCAGGGGTGATTTTGAAAAACTATCCCTTATGTTTGTTTGTACCCATATAAGTTGGTGTATGTAACAATTTGGCCACTAACTTTTAAGAATTTACAATAATAATCTTTAAAGTTACAGATTTTTAAACTATTTGACGGAAAACTATATGAACGTGAACTGTTGTTCCAAATTGTAACTCGATGAGAAGTTTAGGTTGTGCAACTTCCCTTAATACCCTCGTCTCATAAGCGCTGCACCTTAATATAACGCACCGGCAATCCGTCGCCATCCTCGGTCAGTCTCATCTCATCTCCGATAAAAGGAAACCATGGTTTGGGGTTTCTTCCCCGACGACCCTCTCTCAGGTAATATCTTCATCTGTTCTTTTCTTTTTTCTTTTTTCTTTTTGGCGCCTTCTGCTCGTTGAAATTGCTTTGTAACTTGGCCCCGCCGGGAAAATGAAACCAAAAACCAGGAAATTGAACTTGTTATATTAACTTCTTCAGCCCTAAACTATTAACTTCTTGTAGCTTGTCGCTTCGAAAGTAGTTGGGAATGTAGAGTAGAAGTTGTCATTGACAATGCGTATTTTAATGTTTCTGATGCTTTAGGTTCTAGTAAATCCCTATGTTTTAAGTGTTTAGTTCGCATCAATGTCTAACTGGGTTAGCATAATATGACAGGTGAAGATAAGTTCTATATCTTCGCAAGGGGAACGTACAAAGTGGGTCGGAAAGGTACTTACTTAACTGACATTTTATATGCACCAGTTACTCTTTTTGTTGAGTACATATTGTAGATGGAAAATGTGTCTATATTCTGTGATTATAATCATATAATCCAGTTTTGTATAGTTGATTCTTCATTCCTTGGTTAGGCAGAAAGAAGGCAACACTTACGCTAAACACCTTGGGCTAAAATCCAATTATCCTTCAGAATGATTTTCTTTCAAATTCCAAGCTGATGACCAACCACATAAGCATCTTCGATCTTACCAATGACATTTTTCTTTTCTTTTGGCCATGAACTCCGTTTTGTTTAATTAATTAGTTTCACACCCTCTTCTCCTTTCCTCTCCTCTCTGACAAGACCCCTTCTCCTAGTATGCTTATGTTACTAAATTTTTATATTTTTCTATGTGTGGCCGATGGTTTTAAATCATCACCTTATGCAACCTTGTAGGTTGTGATGTAAATATTACTAAAGATAAAGGAGTTTCTCGGGTCCATGCGGAAATAGTTGTTGATGCAATGATTTCTGCCCCCCTGCAAACAAAAGCTTCTATTCTATCTTCAAAAGTTCGAATTAGAGATTGCTCAAAGTATGGAACATTTATTAACAAGAACCTTACATCGATGGAAAAGATTCATGAGTTACCGAATAAAGAAACATCACTAAGAGAAGGGGACTTGGTTTCATTTGGTACTGGCAATGCAATCTACAGGTAATATAACTATTTTTCTGAGTTTGCTTTCTGCATGGCATCAAAGAATACAGCTGTTTGTGGATGCTATTGCATAAGACTTGCACTGCAATGATTTCTTCCGTATTGATATGCTTATATCTTGTAGCACAAATCTCGCAGATTTTCCTTTGTTCCACTCATTTTCTTTGCGTGCTGCTCGGATCCAACCCAAGTGAATCATGCCCTTGAAGATAAACTTTCATCATTTGGTTAGTGACTAACGAGAAACATAGTGCTTACCTGAAAATATTCATGCCCCCGTATGTTGTTTTGTTTTCTTGTCATAATATCATCTGAAATGTCTCTTGGTTGCTTGTCATAATTTCATATGTAATTAATCTTTCCCTTATAAGGTGATCTAGTCTGTGTGGGGTTGTTCCTACTAAGATTGTAAGGCCTACTGCACATTGGAGTATTTTGATGTTAATAACCTAAAGAAGAGAGGGTAGGGTGCTTCTGATTAGGTGTGCCATGTATAATTTATTTTATTTTATTTTATTTGTTGGGGTGGGTGGATGGGTGGATTTATGTTCTCCACTGAAGTTTCTTGTGTGCTTCCAGGTTGAGTTGTGGATGTGCTTTTTGAGGTTGGAGTGGTGGTTTTGTTCAAAGTCCAAATTGGCACATTGGGGGGTTGATGTAGTACAGCCCGTAGGTATTAGATTAAGCACTTAAACAATAGAACATAGAAGAATATAAGAGACCGAGGAGAAGAAATATAGATCGAAAAGACGAGATAAAGGGCAGAAACAGTAGAACAAAGAAGAATATCGGGGATCGAGGAGAAGAAATATAGATCGAAGGGACGAAATCAGAGAGTTCTAGGAAAAGGTTTACTCAACATTCAAATCTGAATTTTAAACAACTACAAGGGGGTATTTATAGCAAACTAAAACCTAGACATAATAGGATAAAAATCCCTTGCTTAAAGGGAAATCCTAACCCAAATAAAATAGGAAACTTAAAACTAGAAATCTGGAAATCTGGAAAAGTAGAAATCCTACTAGAATTGGGAAAACTAGAGAATCTAGGAAACTAACAAATACATTAGGAAACTAATAAATTTAGGTCATATGCGTCCTGCATCAGGGGCCTTTATGCAGTTTTTGTTGTTTGTGGTTGGAGTGGAATAGGAGAACTTTAAAGTGGATCAAATGTTCTTTGTTAGAGTTAAAAATCCGCTGATATCTTTGTTCGAATACTCTCATAGGAGTTCTTACGCATATTTCTTTCTTTTTTTTGCTTTCCTTATTGTTTTTCATTCTTTTTTGCCTTATCTCTTGTATGCTTAGGTTGCACCACCTTGGTACTTAGGATTATCCTGACTTATAAAAGAGAAAAGAAATGTTATTAGTTGATATGGTTAAGTTGCCAGTTTACCTATTGCTTGTTAAGTGATGTGTTCTTGTCATATTATTAGGGTGTTATGGCGGTGCTGTAATGTTACTAACTATTATGTTTTCATTAGGTGCTCATATCACTTATCATCTGAGTCAGGAGTGCACACATGTGCTTGTTGACCAACTCATGCCGGTAAAAGAAGATATGCTGGATGCTATTGTGGCGAAGAAACCTTTTGTTCTTGGTAGTTGGGTTGAGGTAGGCCATAGTTTAAGATCATGCATTGCTTTTGTTGGGTGAATGATTGTGCTTGAAGTCATTGAACTTTATTTTTTTTGGTTTCTTTGATTAGTTTATTGTGATACATGGGTATTATTATGGACTGGTAAGACTTGTTTTACCTTTTTTTCGGGTCTAAAGACTTGTTTTACCTTAACGTAGGAGTTCTTGGTTTATATACCTCTTCTAACTTTCATCAGTTATCGTACTTGTGGTGCTTACTAAAGTTTAAATTGAAATGGTGGAAGATGGAGGAGGATATAATAAAAGTTAAACCTAGAATTATCTATAACTAGGTTGATGGAAATTTTTTAATGAAACATAATTTTATTCCAGTTTTTTATTGTTACTAATTGCTGCGGTTTATTAAGTTTCTTGCAGAAAAAAACATTCGCACAGAGCTTCCTAGTTGTGAATCGTGAGTGTTAATTATAATCTTATTTTGGATTTAACTTTGCTTCATTGAGTTACTTGTATATCATCAATGGTTGTTCTGATAAAAGTATTCTTTCTTCTGTCCTGTAATCAGCTTTGCTCCAACACTAACATTTGAAGGAGTATCAGTCAAACTTGCAGACCCGAGAACTCGTGAGAACTGTTTGGAAGGGTACACCTTTTTGTTGGACTCAAAACCTGTGGTAAAGTTTTGATTTCTTTAAACCTTTAGAAAATTTAGAATCTTTTTTCTGAATTCAAATGAGTTTTAACTTTTATTCCTAATACCATTGCAAGAGGAAATTATAATTGTATAACAATTGTATAACTGTTCATAATCTTTTATATTAGAGAAATTTGTTAGATGTTCACAAGTGTGCATTCAGCTGTTGACAAACTTACATGCAAACACAAATCAGTCTGCACTGAATGTTTTATTACTAAAGTGTGATTCTAGAAGTTGTAAATGGTTTTGGGTGATGTAATGGATAGTTTTGTTGCTCACTCAAAATTCATGTTTGAGAGATCAATTCTTGTCTGTGAACTGAAATGATTGCACTACATGCTGATCTGTTGTATTTTTGTTCTTTCACAGTATAAATTCATGAATCGCTTGCGGTCCTTACTGGAAGTGAGTGGTGCGAAGATTCTTTCGATTGATGGGTTTAATTTGAATAGCCAAGTATGATTCTATGTTTTACATTTTGGTTTACATCTGAACTCTGAAAAGAAATATACATTCAACACGATCATTTTCTCTGGTTTATTGTGATACTACTATTTGGTTTATTATTCTGAATCTTGTTGAATGTATATTCCTTTCAGAGCTCAGATTGCGTAGAAAATGATCGTGTTGTATGTGTTATCCCGGAACAATCGTCAGATGATTGGTTCAATAAGCTTGGTTCACTATTAAGAGTGAATGAGACTGGCTTAATATCTGCCATTTTAAATGGACGGCTGGATCCAGCTATGTTAAAATCACCTTGTGGTGAGTATTCTTGTTATCTTTTGGATATATGTGTCAACTGATTAAAATTGAAATCCTTCTAGGTTACCTTGCTCTCACCTTAAGTATAGCAGCCGTTGTCACTGAAACAGTACTGCTTTTCCATTTTCTTTTTCCTGCTGTTATTCTTTGTATTGCCTCTACACTAGTTTCTTTTTTCATTGAAGTGCAAGAATATTATCCACTAGTGAAAGAGGCAAGTACATGTGTGCGTGTTTTCGTTCTTTTGCAAAGGTAATGCAGCTGATTCTGTGTTCTTCTGCAGTAGTTGTATCATCTTCATGCTCCACAGATGAAACCGTGGTAGCTGATTCTGATACGGAAGAAATAGCCACTTCAGTTTTGGCAACTGCATCTCTTGGCGCCAAAGGAGTTGTCGAAAATGTACCCCATGAAATCTCCATGAATTATGCAGCTCCTAAATCTGAGGATAGCTATGTCATGAGCTGTCGACGCAGTAGTGACATATCCACCGTAAGAGGCAAGCTTGATGAATCTGAAAGTGGAAATGTAGATATTATTTATAGCCAAGATTTGATTGTGCGAGATGCAA